CATATCCAAAAATCACCCAAATCGGACCACCAATTTGTGGAGGTAATGAAAAGACCGAGCGCGCTGGAGAGAACAGCTGAATTGGGTTCCATGCGATGTTGTTTATTTCTACCGAACAAGGGGCCGTTCGGTAGTTTGGAAGCGAACGTATCGTGCGTATGGAGGTCTCAGCGGTGTTTGCCTAGCCGAGTGTCCGATTTGGGTTCCAAACACTTGACGGCAAAACACCGCTGTTCGGGAGTTTTAAAATGGCCGCCGCCACGTGTTGGTTGGATTTCAAGCCAACCAATCAGAGTGCTGTAACAGGTAAATGTAGAGACTTTCCCCGCCCTGCGGAACTCAGTCTGCGCCTTTCCCACGCTGGGTGATGATAAATTACTTTTTTAGCGGTTTTTTTTTTTTGCGCTCTGTTTTTTTTTTTTTTTTTTAACAGTTGCAACGGGTATTATGGATTTTCATTTGGCCTTTTTTGAGGCTGAAAAAAGAAGATTTTAGAAAAAAGAAGACATCAAATGGTTAGTTATTTTTTACTTACATGTATTTAGTTTTCTTGTTCCACCGTCACTATTTTTAGGGTGAGGGAGGTAGGTAGGTATTTATTAAAAAAAAATTGGGTGGGGGGGGTTGACAAGGGGCTTGGGGACCCTTAGTCACCTGGGGTGGGGTTTAAATTTAGCCCCCACCCGTCGCCCCCATGGGTGGGCACCGGGGGGAGGACAATAGGGCCCCCACCCATAGGTCCCCGCCGCTCATGGGTGGGGGCCGGGGTGGAGATTAATAGGTCCCCCATTTTCATTTATGGCCCCCACCCACCGCTCATGGGTGGGGGCTGTGGGGGAGGAGAATAGGTCCCACCCCCATTTTCATTTAGGGCCCCCACCTGACGCTCGTGGGTGGGTTAACCGGGGGGGGAGGACAATAGGTCCCCCCCTATATTTTCATTTAGGGCCCCCCACCTGCCGCTCATGACAAAATGAAGAACAGACCCTGAGAGAGGAAGAGAAGAGGAATCGATTGGGGAGAGGTAAGTTTGGCATGTTATTGTCATTTATAGACAACCAGTTCCTAAATACCATCTACCAAGAATAATAGTATCTGTTTAATTTTGTAGAAAAGTAACTTTGCAAAGAAGGACACATCTCCAAATATCCTCAACTTGTAAATCAGTTATTTGGGGGGTTTGTTACGAGCTTTTAGATAGTTCTGTCCCCTCTAGAAAAACCAATAAATAATAAACTATAAGTGCAAATGTATAATTAACCAGTTTGTCATTATCCATTAAGTTGTCAAAGTAGGATTTCTTTAACTACCTTAAATATTTGTAGATCTAGTTTTTCTGTCAACTCCTCAGTTTTGTTCTAGGCTGGTATAGGAATATATTTTGACCTAGAGTTACAGGACAGGCAGCAGTGGTTCCCACTATAGTCACCAGAACAACTACAGCTTAATGTAGTTGTTCTGGTGAGTATACAGGGAGTGCAGAATTATTAGGCAAGTTGTATTTTTGAGGATTAATTTTATTATTGAACAACAACCATGTTCTCAATGAACCCAAAAAACTCATTAATATCAAAGCTGAATATTTTTTGGAAGTAGTTTTTAGTTTGTTTTTAGTTTTAGCTATGTTAGGGGGATATCTGTGTGTGCAGGTGACTATTACTGTGCATAATTATTAGGCAACTTAACAAAAAACAAATATATACCCATTTCAATTATTTATTATTACCAGTGAAACCAATATAACATCTCAACATTCACAAATATACATTTCTGACATTCAAAAACAAAACAAATCAGTGACCAATATAGCCACCTTTCTTTGCAAGGACACTCAAAAGCCTGCCATCCATGGATTCTGTCAGTGTTTTGATCTGTTCACCATCAACATTGCGTGCAGCAGCAACCACAGCCTCCCAGACACTGTTCAGAGAGGTGTACTGTTTTCCCTCCTTGTAAATCTCACATTTGATGATGGACCACAGGTTCTCAATGGGGTTCAGATCAGGTGAACAAGGAGGCCATGTCATTAGATTTTCTTCTTTTATACCCTTTCTTGCCAGCCACGCTGTGGAGTACTTGGACGCGTGTGATGGAGCATTGTCCTGCATGAAAATCATGTTTTTCTTGAAGGATGCAGACTTCTTCCTGTACCACTGCTTGAAGAAGGTGTCTTCCAGGAACTGGCAGTAGGACTGGGAGTTGAGCTTGACTCCATCCTCAACCCGAAAAGGCCCCACAAGCTCATCTTTGATGATACCAGCCCAAACCAGTACTCCACCTCCACCTTGCTGGCGCCTGAGTCGGACTGGAGCTCTCTGCCCTTTACCAATCCAGCCACGGGCCCATCCATCTGGCCCATCAAGACTCACTCTCATTTCATCAGTCCATAAAACCTTAGAAAAATCAGTCTTGAGATATTTCTTGGCCCAGTCTTGGCGTTTCAGCTTGTGTGTCTTGTTCAGTGGTGGTCGTCTTTCAGCCTTTCTTACCTTGGCCATGTCTCTGAGTATTGCACACCTTGTGCTTTTGGGCACTCCAGTGATGTTGCAGCTCTGAAATATGGCCAAACTGGTGGCAAGTGGCATCGTGGCAGCTGCACGCTTGACTTTTCTCAGTTCATGGGCAGTTATTTTGCGCCTTGGTTTTTCCACACGCTTCTTGCGACCCTGTTGACTATTTTGAATGAAACGCTTGATTGTTCGATGATCACGCTTCAGAAGCTTTGCAATTTTAAGAGTGCTGCATCCCTCTGCAAGATATCTCACTATTTTTGACTTTTCTGAGCCTGTCAAGTCCTTCTTTTGACCCATTTTGCCAAAGGAAAGGAAGTTGCCAAATAATTATGCACACCTGATATAGGGTGTTGATGTCATTAGACCACACCCCTTCTCATTACAGAGATGCACATCACCTAATATGCTTAATTGGCAGTAGGCTTTCGAGCCTATACAGCTTGGAGTAAGACAACATGCATAAAGAGGATGATGTGGTCAAAATACTCATTTGCCTAATAATTCTGCACTCCCTGTAATAGCTCCCTTCAGGCATTTTTTCAGAGACAAGGCAGTGTTTACATTGCCCCTAGGGGCCATTGGAGGGGCTTCCTGGTTCAGGGCTGTCGTTCAGCGTCCCCACGCTCTGCATGGGGACGCTGAAGTTTCCTCATAGAGATGCATTGATTCAATGCATCTCTATGAGGAGGTGCTGACTGGCCAAAACGGCGTTTGGTCCTGCCCCCCTTGCCGATTTTAGCCAATCTAATGCTTTCCCGATTGGCACTGGATTGGCTAAAAAGCAGAAATTTTGATGATGTCACCAAGGGGACGGGCGAGTGCCGGCAGACCCGTGAAGAGCTTAAAATAAGGTGAGTTTTAACCCATTCTGTGGGGGCAAGCCACCTAAATGGTGGGTTTTCACTAAAGGGTCAGGAATACATGTTTGTGTTCCTGACCCTATAGTGATCCTTTAAGTCTGCCACAGTGAACAGATCTTTGATCACCCCACTGGTCTATGAAGCCTCGGCCCATAGTCATTGTGGTCTACTGGGCATTTACCCGGTTTGCCCGATGGCAAGTCCAGGGCCTGTATGTATGTGACTGTATATGTGTATATATATATATATATATATATATATATATATATATATATATTGTCACTGCTTGGCAACCAGGAGACTTAGATTCAAATCCTGGTCAGCATCCCTCAACAGTAAGTGTCCCTGGGAAAGATACCTACTGATATATTTGCATACCCGAAAGACTGCAGTGGAGGTGGATGTAGACATACCCAGTGATCATAACATCAAGAAGAAGGAACATGAGATAAATTGGTTGGCTGGTTGTATTTCTGTCTTTCCTTGGTTATTTTTAACAGAAGGTATTCTTTGTGAAAATGACCAAACCCATTGGTGTGTTCCTTTTCTCAGAGGAACCTGGTGATGTGGGTCCAAAGCAGTGTTAATTTTGTTGACTTACAATTTCAGTCAAACTTTAATCGACTAAAACTAAACTAAAATTAAAATAATTTAGATTACTAAAATACGACTAAAGCTAAAATAACTTTTTAGTTAAAAGACTATGACTAAAACTAAATTGAAATTTGCCGCCAAAATTATCACTGGTCCAAAGTCAGATTACCCATTAGGCAACCAAGGCGCCTGGCAGAGGAATATCTACTAAAAATAGCTCCTATGGCAAGCACTGAAATTGTGTCTCTCGTGACCCATGTCCAAACATCTGGCACCTATCTTTTAGATAACTTTAACTATAAAATCAGCTCACAAATACAAGTTGTATGTAATGTATATTGGTGTGGCGTGTGGTTGTGGTGTGTGTGCTGGCTATATGTGATGTGGTGTGTGCTGGCACTCATTTGTTTTGTGATTCAGAGTGTTGTCTGTGTTGCCAGAAAAATGTGGAGGGAATGGCGAACTAGCTAATTTATTATATATATATTTTTCGCATAGGTGGAATTCGACCAAACTAAAACACACGGATGAAATTCGGTTCAATTACGACACATTTTTGTGGGGTTCTAATTGATTGGGACAAACTGAAAGTTTCTTCCATGCTCATTAAGAATAGGTGGCTACTCTCCGAAGAGGAAGAGTTCTCTACCTGATACAGATATTGGATGCTAAAGCCAAAATATTGCATACTAGTGCCAAATCTCATAGATTCTCGTCTCCATACCGTTTATTTTCAGAATGTCCTCTGTATTTCTTTACTTTCAGACTGTTGAACCTATTTTCTTTCTACTTCTAGTTGCAACATATTAACTTGTTTAAAGGGGCCTCAACAATATTAACTTTTTTTTTTTTTTTTTTTTAAAGAAAAATAACTGTTTTAAATATAAATACATATAAGAGATCATTAACCATTGCCATACACTACTTGAAAACCTTTAGTAAAAACAAGAATATAATAATTAACTTTGCTGCTACTGGTCACAGTATATCCACTAGAACTTCAAAAGTCTTATGTTCCAGAAGGATACAGTAATGAATGGAAAAAACATGCGTCTTGATGGAGAAAAAACTTCCCCAAAACCGGAGTACCTCCAACTGAAGCGTGGGATTGGATTGTTTAGTGGCGTATCCCTGATTGCTGGCACAATGATAGGTTCTGGGATCTTCATGTCTCCTCAGTGGGTCCTCTACTACGTGGGAAGTCCAGGAGCCAGTCTGCTGATATGGGCGGCTTGTGGTCTGCTTGCCATGCTGGGGGCATTGACCTACGCTGAACTCGGAACTGTGATTAAGGAGTCAGGAGGAGATTACATATATATTTTAAGAAATATTGGCTCACTGCCTGCTTTTCTCTTAGCGTTCACTTCTATCATGGTGACTAGACCTGCTAGCATTGCAGCGATATCTCTGAGTTTTGCAGAATATGTGGTGGCATCATTCTATCAAGATTGCCCAATGCCCCAAGTGGTGGTAAAGTGTACTGCAGCTGTGTGCATCCTAGTCTTAACCATCATTAATTGTCTTAGTGTTAGGCTGGCAACCTCTTTTATGAACATTTTTACAACAGCCAAGATCTTATTATTGTTGGTTATAATTGCGGGTGGAATGGTTCTTTTGGCCAAAGGAAACACTCAGGTATTGCAGAACTCCTTCGAAAATACAGTCACCGGTTTCGGTCCTATAGGATTGGCTTTTTATCAAGGACTCTGGTCGTATGATGGATGGAACAACCTTAACGGTGTGACGGAGGAACTGAAGAATCCCCAGGTCAGTGAGTACTGAAAAGACATAATAGTGGGAGTGAAGGAAGCAGAAAGGAAATGATTCAGTAAAGGTGCATTTTTTTATTCCCTCTTTGGGGCACAACAGTCAAAGAATACAATGGCAGCTTAGCAAGTAGCTAGGTGATATTAACAATAAACACAAAAACACTAATGAGAACCCAGTAGGTTTAGGAATACAAATGTGCCCTGGTGTTCTCCTATCCTTTCATAGAAACATAGAAACATAGAATGTGACGGCAGATAAGAACCATTCGGCCCATCTAGTCTGCCCAATTTTCTAAAAACTTTCATTAGTCCCTAGCCTTATCTTATAGTTAGGATAGCCTTATGCCTATCCCATGCATGCTTAAACTCCTTTACTGTGTTAACCTCTACCACTTCAGCTGGAAGGTTATTCCATGCATCCACTACCCTCTCAGTAAAGTAATACTTCCTGATATTATTTTTAAACCTTTGTCCTTCTAATTTAAGACTATGTCCTCTTGTTGTGGTAGTTTTTCTTCTTTTAAATATAGTCTCCTCCTTTACTGTGTTGATTCCTTTATATATTTAAATGTTTCTATCATATCCCCCCTGTCTCGTCTTTCCTCCAAGCTATACATGTTAAGATCCTTTAACCTTTCCTGGTAAGTTTTATCCCACAATCCATGAACCAGTTTATAGCCCTTCTCTGAACCCTCTCTAAGGTATCAATATCCTTCTGAAGATACGGTCTCCAGTACTGTGTACAATACTCCAAGTGAGGTCTCACCAGTGTTCTGTACAATGGCATGAGCACTTCCCTCTTTCTACTGCTAATACCTCTCCCTATACAACCAAGCAGTCTGCTAGCATTTCTTGCTGCTCTATTACATTGTCTGCCTACCTTTAAGTCATCAGAAATAATCACCCCTAAATCCCTTTCCTCATATGTTGAGGTTAGAACTCTATCAAATATTCTGTACTCTGCCCTTGGGTTTTTACGTCCAAGATGCATTATCTTGCACTTATCCACATTAAATGTCAGTTGCCACAATTCTTTCCCCTCTCTATAGGTATCAGGCTGGGTTTTGGGCATCAAGTTCAATGATCTCAGCCAATCCAATGCTTTCCCGTAGGAGAGCAATGGGAGGCTCGTGCGCATGTGCAGCAAAACCATCTGATGGAAATATTGGAGTTCTACTCAACTTTACTCCTCTAAAGTATGACAGTCGCTAGAGGTAGGTTTACCCAGCAATGAAAACTTTGCTATTCCTGCAGAAGGGTTAAAGCTGGTGGCACATGGCACACTTCATGGAGTGGTCTGGAAGCCTATAGTTTTCCTTGAAGGCCAAAATAGCTGAGCTGGAAAATTATCTTAGTCCATTAGTCAAGTTAATTTACTTTGCATTCTCACTTTAGCAAATAGCCTCCCACATTTATTGGCAAGATCTAAGTGTGACAAATATTGTATTATAGGTTAATAATAAAAAAAAAACCTTTAACTCCATGAAATGGCATGACCTGTTAAAATAAGGTACACCTCCAGTCATCAGTAAAGCTGAAAATGTAAACTGCAGATATAACCATGACAGATGTTTTTCTAACACACTTATCAGTAGTCCTTAAAATGCCTGGAAATTAGATTTTTTTTTCAATCAAAATTGAGGGTGCAGATCACTTTAAGAGCGCCCATATGTCCTCTTTGCACTTCTTGATGACTCAGATCTTAAAGTGGTCTATACCTGATACTGAGTACAGAATATGGAGCTCCACCACGGGACAACCATGGATCCTGCTCACCCTTCACTGGACCACCAGTGAATGTAAATGGGGGAGGGAACAAACACCCACACAGCACTTACCCACTCTTAGATGTTTTTATGTCTCAACTCGAAATATAGCCACCACACACACAACTAGTACACACAGACACACTCAGCCTCCCTCCATACAGCTCTCATCCTTCTCCACATACATAAAACTCAGCCACCACACACACTAGAAAATATGTATAGAGGATGCAGCTGTGGATCTACAAAAATCAAAAAATATAACGGTATAATACAATTAACAAAGAAGTATATGCGCTCCCACTCTCATGACAGCAACTAGCCACACTCACAGGATGAAGACTGATATGTATCGCCTCCTTGATGGCAGCCGTCACACCAGTATAACAGACAGGACTCCAAAAATGATCCAAATAAAAATCTGCTTTTATTTTTTACATCAAGCATAAAAGAGCTTGTAAAATAAAATGGAAAAAAATAATTAAAAAAACCAAGTATGGCTAAAGGTCCTACGCGTTTCGCCCTATATATAGGATTTCCTCAGGAACCATAAACATAAAACACTTAAAAATAATAAAGTAAATAAACAGCAAAGGCAATAATGCTTTCAAACAGGAGAAGGCAGTAGAACGCTCCCCCCCCCCCTCCCAACCCCACACCACCCTATTAAGCTTACAATCTAAAATATACCGTATTATCGAACACTTGAACATGGTTGCAGCAGTTGGTGAAACACTAGAGATTGCAACCTATAAATAAATCATTTATAGCATGATCCACAGCTAGTAACCCAGCGTTTATTTAGTACTGTAACAAAGGAAGCATCCATAACTGAACATCTCTGTTTGAAAAACATACAGGTCTCTTGTTCTCCTTTGTTTCTTGAGCTGAATATGTTTGTACATTGTAAATGCTTGAATCCAAACCCCTTTTTATACAGCGTATTCTTGGTTATCTATCGTTTAGTGACGGTGTTCGTGTTAAACTGTGCGTTAAGTCGAATGACTTTTTATTGTAAATGTATTGCAGGTAAACCTACCTCGAGCAGTCATGATTGCCATTCCTCTGGTGACCTTTATCTACATCCTGGTCAATGTTAGCTACTTTGCAGCCTTAAATCCCACAGAGCTTCTTTCATCGGATGCTGTTGCCGTCAGTTGGGGGTGAGTTATTCTTCAAGTGGATTTTAAATTCATTATAATGAACCACCAGGCTCTAGGACACTTTAAACATACTCACCTTTTGGAGTGTAAAAACTTATATTGTTTTTGGCTTTCCTCCTCTCTTGTGGCTTGCCCCCTGTAGTGGCTAGATGCTAGGAGTACCTTGGCTCTGTTCCCGGTAAAGGGGCAAATCGCTACCCGTTGGGCTGCCACGATTCTTTCAGCCCAGGTCACACACTTCTGACTTCTACAGAGCTGCAATAGCCGATCCAGTTGCCATTCATTGGCTGAGAGCATCAGCTGACGAGGGCTGGCTAATGAATTATTATGAAAATTCTACATTTGATACATTATAGAATACATTAATACATGCTGCTGAGGAAAGGTGTAGAAGACAGATTCTCTTGATGACCTCACTCAATAAAAATGTTTACCGAATTCATGATAAGTGTGAGGAGGGGAGGATATCATCTCATGTAAAACAGTATCAAAAAGGAACCAAATCTCCTATGTCTCCCATATAAAAGGGCGCTTCAACTCTCGTTTTTAACCTTTGCCCTTAATGGGCCACTAAAGTCACCCAGATCACTTCATATCAATGGTCTGAACCAATGCAGAGGACCTTTAGTTTTAACTCTGCAATATACAGCATTGTTGTATAGTAGATGTGGTAATGGTATATTGCAGGTTAAATACGCCTCTAATGGTACTCTTCCTTAGAAAGTTCACTGTGAGACTCGAATCAAACAGTTAATCTCACCTAGCCTGCGCTTTTTATTCCCAATATTCTATTTTGTTCTATGATGTTCTATAAGAAGCATCAGAGTGACATCGCAGCAGTGGCGGATCCAGAGCCTGATCTCGGGAGGGGCACTTGTAGATTATTTAAATAAATAATCCAGGCACAATAACCACTACAGCTCAGTGTAGTAGTTATGGTGTCAGTAGTGCCAGGATTCCACCCCAGAGTAAGTAGTCATTCCGTTTAAGAACAGTTTGACAACTTACCTGGGGTCTCTACTGGATATAGGGTATAGGAACAGTGGTGTGTGTTAAGGGTGAAGTGTGTGAGTCGCGGCATTGTATGTCAGGGACAGTGTTGTGTGGGGCAGTGTGTGTATGGGGACAGTGTTTGTGGGGCAGTGTGTGGCATGGGGGCAGTGTGTGTATTGGGACAGTGTTTGTG